AGTTTATTAGAAACTTATGCATTTTTTCGAGTATTTGCCATTCACTATCTGTGATTTGAATATCATTCAATTCGGTGACAGAAGTGCACAATATGTTAATGCCAGTTCTCACTTTTAAACCAAATTCAATCGTATCATGTGTGGAATACCATCTAGTTGGACAGTCGAGTATGGCATTCCGATTTGATGGCACGTCAGCTGCTTAACAAACAGACTGAAACTTCCTCTTCAATATTTCACATTTTATTTTACTGGAAATACTGCGTAATTTTGTTGTAGCTGTACGTGGGTCAGCAATATTTGGCGCATATTCTTCATCTTCCTCAGTTTCGACTTCATTATCTTCATACTGCTGTTCTTGTCCCTTACTGTCAGTTTCACTGTGTAATGCTAAGGTCTTTAATAAATCTTGTACACCAAGGTTCAAAATGTAAGCAAAGCACCGGAAATGTTGATTGCCTGAATCAAAGTGTGGCAGCTGTTTGTCCAATTCATACATAAATTTGGTATTTGCAGTTGCGTTGTCGACCGTGATAGAAATAAAACAGTAAATCATGTGTCTATATATATATATATATATATATATATATATATATATATATATATATATATATATATATATATATATATATATATATATATATATATATATATATATAATATCTATGTATTGTTTATTACATATATTATTATTTCTTTTATCCTCTCTATTTGATTATTGCTGCACCGCCTCCATAATGTCTATCTCTGTTTAGCCTAATGGTTGACTGGGAGAGAATGCCCTATGGCATTAAGTCCGCCATATGTACTTTTTTTTGTGCATGAAAGTATAAATAAATACAAACTTGAAGTTTGTAAAGTAGGTTCCTTTTATGGCATAGAGATTCAGTTAAGAAACGGTTTTGAGAAAATCTATCCCTAAGGAAGTGAAATGGGAGTTGGAAGTGTGTATGAAAGTCCTACATTTTTGAAGTTAGAGACACGAAAATCGGCACTAAAGTTCTAAGTTTCCAATAATAAAATCCTGAATAAGCTGTTTTACGAAATCCTAACCGTAAGGGGGTGAAATGGGGGTAAAATGGTTACATGCAAGTCCTATATTTTTAAAGTATAGATATGAAGATCGACATTTACTTTATTAGTTTTAAATAATAAATACTTGCATAGTTAAGCTTTACCTATATAGCCTCTTTATACTTAGGTAAGACTTTTGCAGCGAGAAAATTTCATAATCTCATAGGAAATCAGATATTGTACGCGGACGAAGTCGCAGGCGGCCGCTAGTTACATATTGTGTTATGTAATTGCGTGATAAGTATATTTTTTTCTCACCTGTCCACTTTTTTCGGTGGTTATTAAAAGCTTGTGATATCTCCACTTAATTTTGGTATTTCAGGAAGAAATATTTGAGATTCCTTTTTGTGGAAAGATATTAGATGCTTCCTTAAGCCTGAAGTGTTTCTGTTTTTCATTTTTGTTTCAACCTTTTTATGTTGGCATAATTTACACAGAGCAATTTGGGATGCATGAATTATGTCGAAAAACTCATCAAATTTACTTTTAGGTCTTTTAGATCTATAACTCCAACTCTCACTACTCCGACTAGAACTATTCGACTCTTCGTCACTCATGTCAAATTGTAAATTTATCATTCCGAGAACAACAAGGATTAGAGTAAAAACAATTAATACATTAGACTCGAAGCAAAGCTCAATTGGCAATGACTGGAATTAAAATAAATACTACTATTTGTAAGTACACGCCGAAAGACCGACAAAGGAAAGTTCGGCATCCTTTGATAAAATTAATGATTCTTCAGAAGATTAATAAAGTAGATGCGTTGCCAGATAGGTATAGTGTGCCTACGTAAAAATGAAATGTAAATATGTAAATAAAATTGTGTATATTATGTTCTTCTTGTGATTGAATTAATCTACGTTAATTAAATTAAATTTGCCTTCACTCGTTTGAAATTCAAAATTCAAATATGTTTTATTCAAGTAGGCATTCTAAATACACTTGAATAGTCATATAATCACTGTTTTCCCCAATTCTTTCTTTTCCATCTCCAGGGGTTCTGATTCTACTGAGAAGAATCATGGAAGAAAGTAAGAAACTCAGTAGTTGCTCTTTTCAAAATATTTTTACAATAGTTCTAAAATTATGTAAAGCGATAAGTCAAACATAAAATGTCAAATGTATATGTAGATACCAAATCGGTTTAGAAATTTCTAGTTAGTCCTGTGTAGTACCAGAGGTCAGTTCCACGCATTTTTGTCTGACTTAAATTGAAAAGGTGAAAGATCTAACATTTCTTTTGGAATCTTATTATAAAAGCGTATATCGCTACCCAAGAACGCATTTATATACTTTGTGTAACCGGAAAGCAGGTATTGTGATTTTATTTTTATTTCTGCTATTAAAATTGTGTAAATCACTGTTATTTACATCAATTCGATGCAATCAATTTCTTTAAACGGTTCTCTAAGATATACTCGGGCTCTTAAAAAGTACATAGATCTTATTTTACGCTTTTTATTTAATATGCACACTTTTTATATTATTCGATTAGCATTGTACAAAATGTTTACACGTTTCAAGTGTGTTAAAAGTGTCTACAATATTTATCAAATGGGTGACGACATATTCGAACACTTTGTGTTCAAAAACACACACTTCCAAAAATCGAGATTTGCAGTGAACTTATTGAACATGTTTATCTATTAAGTAATAATAGTAAGTAATTATTGTAAACCCATATAGTTAATATTATAATAATTACTTACTAGAATAAATTATTATGGTATCTACCTATCCTTACCATTATCTTACCATTATCTACCTTACAATTATCTACCTTACCATTATCTACCTTACCATTATCTACCTTACCATTATCTACCTTACCGTTATCTAATTACAATATTCCTTGCGAGATCAGCATAATGTATTCGTGTCCATTCTGAGCACCCGGAAACTTATTTTATTCTTTGGAACATGTACTCTGTGGCGGCATTCAAACAGTGTCAATTGTAGTGCGTTCGGCGCGGCGGCGACGATTGAGTGCGATATCAATAGAAGCCGCCGGCGCGTGTATCTTGACCTTGTACTTCCGAATATCTGCAAAATTTCTTTGACAGGTCAGTATTCGACCTTTGATGATGCCGACAACAAGACGCCGCGCACTATCAAAGTGCCGATGGTCAAAACTAGGGATGCACTGTTTTTTTCTTTTAATGGATATTTTCATCCGCTATGTATGTTTATGGTATTGTTCGTAATGCGCATAAGTCCAATTTTATATTTTTATTTTAATATAATTTTTGCGTCTCATAGAGTCCCTAAGCGTATACCCGAACTCCTATACTCCCAGAAACGACACGCATTCCTAACTGCAAGACGCAAGAGTCTCGCAGGCTTAGTCTTGTTCTTGCTCAAATCTTGCACGGTCAGTCTTGGTCTTGGTCTTGCAAAAATGCAAGAACAAGACCAAGACTGCAAGACCAAGACCGATTTTGGGCAACACTACTTGCAAAGGGTAACTATTGAAATAATTGTCAAAATAAACCTTATGTTTTGTATTTTTCAAGATTTCGCAAAAATTCTTGACAACTTTTCCACCTAAGTCAGTTTCAACGTTACCACCTACCTACGTGTTTACCTGTGTAAATATAAAAATCTAGACAGTAACCTGATTGTGCACACATCATCCAAACCTTGTATCCACGTTTCGTCGGCTTTTTTGGCATGTATTATTTTAGTGAGTTTCTGTATTTGAATTTGATCATGCTTTCATCGATTGCAACTCTCTCAGATGGCTTGTAATTGTTTTGAAAATTGTTTTGCAGTATGTTGAGCAGAGGTCTAATTTTATAAAGTTTGTCATAATTATGCTGGGGATACACATGCCAGTAAATCGGGGAAGTAGCTGGCATGAAATTTACTGGCATGTACGAGTAACTGGCACACTGCGGATACATTTGCATGTGATACTGGCATGCAAGTTGTGCCCTTGCATGCCAGTATTACCATTGCGTATACACAGGACAGTTCGTGTCACTCGGTACCTATTCTTGCGTGCCAAAAATGGATAACAATCGAAGTGAATTAAACAAAATCGTGTTGTTACTAGCAATTGAATGTGTAGCTAAATTAATGAGAGATAAAGAGAGAAAAAGAAGAAGACAGGCTTGGATAAGAGATTGGATTAGTAGAAGGGATGATTTTGGAGCAAGTAGTTGTCTGCTTAAAGAAATGCGTCAAGAAGATCCTGATGGTTACAAAAACCATTTGAGAATGCTCCCAGAAAAATTTGATGAATTGTTAGGAAAAATTAGGGACAAAATAACAAAAAATGATACTCACATGCGAAATGCCATCCCAGCAAAAACCAAATTGGAAATAACATTAAGATTTTTAGCTACAGGTGATTCATTTGTATCTTTAGAAGCATTGTACAGAGTAGGAAAATCGACGATTTCACAGTTCATTCCAATTGTTTGTAGTGAAATAGCTACTGCACTAAGGGATTTTATTAAAGTTAGCAAAACAATGTTGAATATCTTTCATGTTTTTTATTTATTTCAGCATAGAAATTAGGCATTATTCCAAGCTTGGTTAAAAATATTCTGTCCTGATTCTTGACCAAAAGTGATAGTGTTATCTTCTGTAGTGTTTGACTGCGTGTATGGTATTATGTGTATGAATCGATCACCGGCGGAAGATGCTGCTGTTTCTTCAGGATATAAAAATGTATTAGAATACGGAGTGGAAGGCTGAGAATATGAAGTGGACAATCGAGACCTTTCTGTACTTAGCAAAACTTGAATTTTGGATTGCATATCCAGAGCGTTATTTAATGGCAATAATCTTAACTGAGCAGCAACACTTTGTCCGAAATAATAAAAACTCATCTTTTTCTTTTTCATTTGATCCACGATTATTGATTGCAGTAGCAATATTTTCCAGACGTTGAAGTGCAGTTAAGGTTTAATTTTGCTCTACACGTTTTTTCTTAGTCTGACTAGTTTTGTGTGGTGGGTTGACTGCAGCAGTGCGAGAGGAGGATTACTGGTCCTGGAGAGAGGGTGATGGTATTTGCTCGTTTGTAATGCTTGCTTGATTGGATGAGTGTGATTGGTCGACTGCGACAGAGAATGTTTCGTTGTTTGGTGGGTTGACTGTTTGATAGGAGGATTGATGGTCTGATGAAATACCTCTTTGAGAGCGTGGTGTTTCTGTTTCAGTGTTCGATTAAGAGGACTGTTGTACCTGTAAATTTTATTTTTTAATTAAGTGTTGCAGGTAATATTCGTTACTTTATATGTGAACAGACATTTTGTTTTCAGATTCCTACGAACGAGGCAGGAATGGAAGGAGATAGAAAATGGCTTTCGAACCAAATGGAACTTTCCAGGCTGTATTGGAGCTATCATTGGCAAACACATAAATATTATTGCTCCTGACGAAACATCAAATTATTTTAATTATAAAGGAAGCCACAGCATAGTGCTACTAGCATTGGTGGATGGCGATTACTGTTTTTCTTATATTGATATAGGATGCAACGGCAGAGCTTCACATGGAGGAGTGTTTGAAAAATCAGTCTTGAAACAAGCACTAGAAAATAATTATTTAGATATTCATGAACATTCTGTTATAATTGGAGATGCAGCTTTTCCCTTAAAAAAAATATCTCATGAAACCGTTTCCTACCAGGGCCACCCGAAGAGAAAAAGTTTTTAATTATCGGTTGTCAAGGGCCAATTGTCGAAAATGCGGTCGGTATCCTTGTATCAAGATTCCGAATTTTTGAATCATTTATAGCTCTAAAACCAGAAAAAGTTGACGTCATAGTATTAGCGGCATGTTCTTTACACAATTGTTTGCGGGAAAACCACTAATACTTATATCACACAAAGGTGTGTGGATTATGAAGATATTCAACTCAGTACTATTATTAACGGCTTCTGGCGTGATCAGTTACAAAGATCTTTACGGAATTTATCAGGAACACGAAATAATCGATCGTCTAGAGAAGCGATACTTATTAGAAATAAATATGCAGATCTTTTCATTACAACAGAAGCAGTGCCTTGGCAAGATCGTATGATTAATATTTTAAATGAATAAATGTAATTGTCTAAGTACTTTTGCTTAATATAACTATTGTGTCAACTTTTTCTACATAATAATAGATAAAAATATAGTATAAAAAACTAAAAAAACACGCTTTTAGAGCACATCGAACTAAAAAGTAAAACATAATTTTTAATATAAGCTGATATTATTCTGTTAGTAAATCGAGTCTAAAGAAGTCGGTTACAAACATATGAAGCTAATAAAAGCGTGTTAAAGAGAAAGAGTAGGTACTTACAACAGCGGTTTGGATTGAGTTTCTTTATTCGAAACTTTCATTTATAAAATCCATTTCCTTATACCAAATCAAACTGGGTTTGTAAATGTCACTGGATCCAGCTCCGGATCGTTTTCTTGATGATAAGTACTTCGCAGACTTTTGATTTTATTTTCAATTTCTTTTTCAGTCAGACTAAATTCTTCTTGTATTTTGGTGTAGGCAATGGCACGTGCTATTTTGTTTTTGTAAAGCGGGCTAGTCGGCTTCCAAAGACATTCATAGTCTCTGTACAAATGAATGAACTGTATAGTTCTCTCATCTCCCCATCGTGCCATGTTGAATACAAAAAAACCAACATAAGAATGACTTGAAAAAACTTGACCTTCGAAAAAAAAACAGTAACGTGCGCCTACGACCACAACGAGTCAGCTACTGGCATGCCCGTAGCTGTCGCGTCTGTTCACACGTGCCAGTTTGGAAACCCCCCGCGTCCCCCCACCCTCAACGGGCATGCAAGTAAATCAAATGTTGTGCTAGCTACTTGTATGCTAGTTACAGGCATGCCAGTTAGCGTATACACATGACAGTAGCTGGCACGTGCAAGGGGCTGGTATGCTAGTGTGCAAGCTACGGGCATGTGTATCCCCAGCCTTAGGGTCAGTTCGGTCGGGCATTACACTATTGTCATTGACATGTAAGTTATTCAAAAGTCAACTGAACCTGTTAAAGCTCATGAACTTTGAAACATAGCTGTTATGCAAATCAGGCGCTGAAGACCCATAATCTCGATAGCTTCGCAAATTTTTTATGCCTATCACCAAATTCAAGGCAATAAAAACATCAAGCTCTTCTGTTGTGATAGGTGTATATGCCTTTCCAGTTTGAGTAGCGTAAAGGTTTGTTTGAAAACATGGTCTTGTAAATGCTCTGTCCAAAAAAGGCGAAATAGTAAAAGAGGTGTCACATTCTCCGTGCTTAGAATTTGATCTGAAAAACCCACTCTCAAAAAAACTCACCAGGCATAATATCCACTCTATAATTCTTCTTCCATTTTGGAGCAATCATAACCGGCATGTTTGAACTTACATTATTAGACTCTGTAGAATCAGGATTCCGTTGTGACCGGCTAGACAAAGGGAGGTCATCGTCAGAATCATAAATGTCGTCATGAGCAATTTGAACTCCAATAAAATCACCTAGCACCATCAGATTTGGCTGATTTTCTGCCTCTTCTTTGTCATCTTCATAGCTATAAATGCTCTCATTACCTGAAGGGATGTCTTCAAACAAGTATTTTTCAATCTTTTTCTCTTCTAAGCGGCACGTGCGGTGCGACATACTGTAAATAATGAGAAAAAAAACAAATGAAGTTACATCCGTAAGCTAACCAACCACCGTCATGGTAGTTTGTAAGCTAACCACCAAATTCCCTTTGTAAATACTCATTGAAAACACAAAAGTAACAGTACTTGCATACAAACACGCATAAAATAGGTATATGAGAATACGTTCAATAAAAAACATTAGGTACAGAAAAAATGTTACTTACCCGTTCCATAGATTTTTTTATCACACTCGAGAAAAGGTACGTTAGCGCTATATTCGATTCAACTGGTATGAATTGTCATTCATTTAATTTACCAGGAATCTGTCATTTGTTTTGAAGCACAGTCCAAACTTTCATAATAATTTAACCTTTTATCGCTAGATGGCGTAGATTATAATTAACGTAATCGAAAAGAGGTGGTTAGTAACACTAACCACCAAGACTGAAAGAGTTAATTGTCTGATTTCCTTCCTTTTTTGCTTACTCTCTTCCAAAAGCTTCTTTTTTTATCGTTTCTTCCAGTTCTGTTTTGTAGGGTAAAGCAGTAATTATAGCTGTTTTTCTTCGTTTTCGAGTCACGCGTGAAGTTTTGCGAGTTGCTGGAAGGGGTAATATTTGCTGTGGACTAGCAACAGAAAATTTGGATTGTTGTGGAGTTGTTGGTCTTCGATCTATTTCGTTATTAACAAGCCAAGTAGAACATCCGGGCTTAGGACTCGACGGAGCGGCAGAAACCATCATAGTGGTCGTATAAATAGTCGCTGCTTCAACCTCGGTAGATGGTAACTTTTGCAGGTAAGGCGCGAGATGTTTCTGCAGTGGTAGCAGCTCCAGTGATATCTGGCACATGGAAAGCCTTAATTGACTGCGTTTCTGACTCAGCAAGTGCTACGGCTGCTGAAATTTTTGTGGGTGTTATAATAGCGGCACTGCTGATAACTGATGTGGTCGGCGCAGTTTGGCTAATCGGTGCTGTTTCAATGGAAGTCAATATTGCAAGATTCACCGATGGAGTTGTTACAGTAGCAAGTTCATTGTTTGGTGCACTGGCGGTTGCAGTTATTGATTGAGAAGGAGCAAAATCGCTTTCAGAGAAAACCGATGGATCATACGGCCAAATTCCGCATTTCTTGAACCCATTCACAGCTGTTGCCGTGGTAGACGTCTCTATGAAGGCCTTTCCAAAAATTTCTGCAACTTGCCGGATTGTAACCACCATTCCTGGATTGCTGCGAAGCCACGTCGTGTTTTGTCGATCATAATAATTTCTCAATGGTCTCATATAAAGAACGTCGGCGACCGGAAGACGGTGAATAGTATGTGGGGGGAAACATAAAATAATAACCCCGTGAGATCGAGCTTCATTAATCAAATCTATGTTTTTAGTGTGGGTGCTATGACCATCTAATAACAGTAATACAGGTCAGGTCGACCTGCTGTCGCCCCACTGAATTTTACAAATCGTTTAAACCACCCGAGAAATAATTCAGTGGTCATCCAGCCCGAGTCACTTACAACTGCTCCAGGGGCAGCGTTAAGCATTAATTAAGGTTCCAACCTTTTTCTGGAGAATACCATCATAGAGGGCATATATTGCCCACTGGCACTGAAACATATTTCAACTGTAACCGTAGCACCTCGTTCCGCTGAAGTTAAGGCCCCTACTTGTTTTCGGCCTCTTCTTGCTATAATTTTTGATTTGGTTTTAGGTACAACTGAAATGCCAGTTTCGTCGCAGTTGTAAATGCGGTCTGGTGTAAGATGATGTTCATCATAGATATTACCCAAAAAAGTATAAAATGTATCAACAACTTCTTTGTTGAACCCGGCAGCACGCGCAGATGAAGTGCTTTCGGGTTTTCTTATTGACAACTCCAGATATCTGCTCAAAAAACCTTGAACCTAGTCCTTGCCAGCTTCTTGTTTTTGAACGTTGAAAGGGTGTGGTTTATTATTTTTTACTGCTAGATTATAAGCCCATGCCTTTAGGTCTTTGGTTGTAAGACCGTAAAGTCGACTCTCCATGTCTAATAAACAATATGTTAATTTTACACTTGATCAAACGAAATGTGCGGATACTAGATAAAAAATTATCGGTAAAAAATCGAAAATTTTATTTTATGTAAACTAAAAAATAAAAGCATTTTAATTTTTTTTTTTTTGGTAAAATTCCCAACATTCGGTTTTAAATTATTTTAAATTTAAGTAAACGGTGTATTTTTTTTCCAAATTTTATCAATATACTTTCTATCAAATATTATTAGAGCCCCAGTCAGCATCTACAAAGCCTTCCAAATTTTTATTATCTTTAGTATACATTAAACCATATGATTTGCAGTGTAGTTTTCTTTAAGTATTTTAATATTCGCTTGGCATGTCTCCAATGGATTGCTGCAAAACAATTATTAAATTGGCTTAAATAACTGATATTAAAACTAATATCTGGCCGTGTTAGGATAGATAGATACATTAAGCTTTCAATTAACTGCTGATAAGGATATTGTGAACTAAAATTACTGGATTATCTAACTTCAAGTTAATTTCAATTGGGGTATCCACACCATTGCAATCTAACATATCAAATTTTCTAAGAATATTATCAACAAATTGCTCTTGATCCAATGATATGCTGCCATCTTTATACGTCCTAACCCTCATACCCAAACAATTTTTTATTTGCCCTAAATCTTTAATTTTGAAATTTACAATTAAATCTTTTTTTTAATCTATCTGTCATAGTACTACTATCTGAAAATATGAAAAAATCATCGACAAACACAGTTACAAAAATCTGCTCCTTGTTTCTCTTTTTACTATATAAACATGGTTCTAGTTTTGACTTTACATAACCTAATGCTAGTAAACAATCATTACGTCGTTGATTCCAGGCTCTGGCAGATTGTTTCAATCCATATATAGCACGTTTCAATTTCAAAACAGTATTACTTTTACATTTTAAGTTAGGAGGAACTTGCATGTACACATTTTCAGTTAGACAGCCATTTAAGAATGCAGTTGTTACATCTAGATGGGTGACTTTGAAATTTAATTTAACACTTATTGCAAATAACAACCTCAGAGTTGAGTATGTAAGAACAGGAGAGTAGGTATCACTATAGCGCCCGAAACGTCGGGAATTAAAAATAAAAGTAATTAAAAGCAAAAATAAACGCGATAAAATCCGTAAAAGTAGTTTTAATAAAGAGGAATGCCCACTCTTCATAGACATTTCGGCCATGGGTGCCCACATATAAAAGCATATAGATATGATAATATACAATTAAAGGAATGAAATGGTTAAGAAATTGGTTTAAAAAAGTCGGGAATTTTAAGATATAAAAGTTTTTATTTTCACAAATACAGTTTTTTAACAACTAATTTTACCGATGTTATTGCATTTAATTTCTTTGATTTTTAATTCCCGACTTTCGGGTGCTTTCCAGCACACATGGTCATGGGGGGATTGAGGTGACTGGTGTACCGAAATCAGTGTTAACTTGGAGTAACTTCAGCTTTTTAATAACTATTTATGGTCCGATCTACGCAGAATGAACTTACTGTCCTGAAGTCTTGCATGGTATGCTTGGGTTTAGTTTTAATTTTATTAATTACAGTGTCCCAAGCAGGTGGAAATACCCAGCTTCATTCTCTATTGAAGTTAGAATGTTTGAATATGGGTGCAATACATTACCGACTTCAGATTGCAACGAGGATGAATTAGATGATTCAGATGGTTCCCGTTCTGCAGTTGAATGTGATGCTGCTCTATCAAACCTTCGCCAACAATTATGACACACACGAGATGACGATGGCAACTGAAATAATATTAAATAAAAAAGTGAAAAAGTGAACTAAATAAAAATAAAATAGATTTGTTTCCTTTAAACTCAAATACATATAAAATATTTACTACTTAAATGGTAGTTACTGATTCTACATTCTGGAGGTACATAGTAATTGTATTCACAAAAAGACATACCCGCAATGTTGATGGAACTGTGAGTTGATTGGAATAGTTACAACCAGGAAAAAACATTGATTTTGTGTGAGTGGTGGTCTTACAAAATTAGGCAGCAGTATATTGTACGATGTATGATCTAAGCTTTGTTGTTCTAGGTTCAATATATTACTCACTTTAGATTGCAACGAGGACGGACTAGATGATTCAGATGGTTCCCGTTCTAAAGTTTAACGTGATGCTGCTTTATCAGTCCTTTGCCAGCAATCATGACACGCGATGACGATGGCAACTGAAATAATATTAAATAAAAAAATAAGACGAAGTGAACAAAATAGAATAGATTTGTTTACTTTTAACTCAAATATAGGTAAATGTTACTTAAAACTTAATGCCCTATATTTTTAATAATTAAGGACTGACTGCCTACCAGTAGTACAAAAACAATTAAAAATCGACTTTCTCATTTCTTGGTATTTGATAAAAATTGTCCATTTTGTAACTATCTGGTGTTAGCTAGCTAATCTTATCGCCATGTTATAAATAAGCTATTATGTTTGTCAGATATAGCTTGTGCATATGTTAAAAAATAAAACAACTTCATCATTTCATTCATTCATCACTATCAAATATCAGCACTAGAATTATTAAATTAAAACTGTTAAACACTTACTTTTAACTGTTGTCACACTATAATGTGATCGACAATCTCACTTCATATGAGTTCTTGAGAATTTATTTGAAAAATAACAAACAAAATAACACAATTGCGACTATTTAGTTGTGAATTCTCTAGTATCTTTTTACTTGTTGAATTGTGATTTCATTTTCATTCCCAATTCGCATGACATATTTCCTAGCTGTCCGATTTGATGTTGTCACATAACTAACATAAATACACAGTTTAATCTGTGCATAAATACAATGAAACGATATCGATTTTTATTCGATTAGTAATTTAATAAAAAAAGTAATATATGAGGCGCTTTAAGTTCTACACGCTTTTTAAAATATATTTTCTTTTATTTATTTAAATTCTTTTTTCAATGTATTTTTAAGAACAGTTAAAATGTGGATTAGCGTATTATCATGCTCTAAACTGTTCATGGTGAATCAGCTAAAAATTCACTTCTTTAATTATCATAACATGATTCCATTTTAAATGTATTGTTAAAACAGATAACAATTACTGTTAAATTGTGCAGCAGCATTTTGTTATACTCTAAAGAATTCATAGTAAATCAGCTAGTAATTCGCTTTTTTAATTATAAATTAAATTTTTAATTAAAAAAATCGATACAAAACATTCTTAGAATGTTTTGTATCGATTTCAAAATCGATCTAACCGAAATATACAGACATCGATTCATAATATTTTATGTGTCGGGGAAGGCGTAGGCCAAGTGACGCACAGAAGAAAAGTCTTACACTCTTATGACAATGGGGATTTGATATGATGCTGATACTGCTAGATGATTTTGAGACTGAGAAAGAAAATGGCACAACACAAAATGAAAAATTGCTCTTCACACCCTAAGTAAAAAGAACATTAATTGTAATTGTTTGTGGTAGAGCCATGCTGCAGTTATATTAGATGTATAGTTGTAGCACGAATGGGTCGGCTCGACCGGGGAAGGACCACGCTCTCACAGAATACCAGCGTGAAGTAGTAGCTTAATGCTGCTGTATTTCGTATGGTGAGTGTAGAGAACCGGCGACCCATTTTACTGGAAACGAGGCATTCCATCTTAGTCCTCACGGGTGACAACACATCTGCATTTTGATTCGTAATCGAGGATAGATGTAGATGTCTATGGGCCACAGCAACGACTTAACATCAGGTGGACTGTGTGCTCGATTGTCACCCTATCCTATAAAAAAAAATTTGTATTATTATTAAAAAAGGTACATAATTATTCATTAATCAACAATTGTATATAATTATTCGCACTAGGTAAATCAGCCTTATAATACTAAAATCTTGGTCATGGAATAAATAAACATATTTGTTCACCAATCAATCAAAAAACACCATTGAGCTGAATTTTTGATAGTTTTCAAGAAATCTATGCCACCCGCGTTTGACACTAGCGGTCAACCATAGACGACTTTGGCGTGCAGGACATATTATTTGCTTAGATAAAAATCCATTTTTATTAGTTCAATGTTTCTTAGTACTTGTGGCTCTAGAAGACTTGTTTTTTATACTCACATGTTGCTGGGTTATTCCTATTTTGAGGAGTGTAGAATTAAAGTACCTG